GCTACCACAACAACCCCCACCACAAACTCAATAAACTGCGACCCCCCTCCCCACCCCGTTGGTACTTGTTGCTCAACATGAGGTTGACCCTGGTTGGAGTTAGGAAATGATTGATCGAGTATTTGCCCGGTCTCTCCCGATCGTTTGAGAGAAGGATTGCACGGGTCACAGCTAAACATCCCGTAGCCATAAGCATTTTCAATTGAAGCGCTCTCATGTTTTTCAAATGCGCTCCTGTTGCTGGGTTTGGGACCAATCGAGACTCGTGAGCGGAGTAAGAAGTGAGACGTGAGAATTCAAAACGGCACAATGTAATAGCCGACCCTGTCCCCGACTTCCATACAATATTTGCATTGAAGCCCTATTATAAAGGGATCATCAAAGTTGTTCTGCGGAGAGCGAGTGTGTCTTCGTGTTCGTCTTGCTTCAGATCTTCACTGCAGTAGCACAGCGAAAATCTAGAACGCGAAAATGCTTTAAACGAGAAATCATAGAGAAAATACTGAACCTGAAATGGGCATCCAATGAACGGGCAGCCGTGAGCGAAAGAAGGAATCGCCACTTCGTAAATCCAATTTGACGCGTTCAGCATTCCCAACGCAGCTCATCAATTTTACGTTAAAATATGCAATATCTCGGCCGAAAACATGACCTGCGTAGTGGAAGCTACTTCTCCTCCTCGTCTTCCCCACAACGTTCATTTTGAAATGCAGCAGTTCATGAGAATGACGATGCGGCCAGAAACAGCAGCTGACAAACAAAAGCGGCAGTTCATATTCCGCAGAGCCATTGTGATGAGCTTCGACCTGGAGCTCTCTCTAGGTCAAAGTTACTCAAGCACATTAGCTCTGCAGAGCATAAGATGACCTGGGTTGATGTGTTTGAATATTCTTGGAGTCTTCAACCTACTAATTATAGGGAACATTCTAACGCAGCAGACTCTGAGCGATTTTTACATGTATTTCGTGCTGCCACAACAACGATACCACCACAAACTCTATAACTCTGAGCGAACGCTAATTTGCACACTATCAGGAAGTTATTAGTTGAACGAGTTCCATGAATGCTTTTTACAGGATGAGAGGGGCTCCATGAAATAGCTCATCGGGTACGCGGACGCGAGCGCGTGTGGGTGACGTCACTTCAACGTCACAGCGACGGCGAGAAGTTGAGCAAGGGTGATGCCCAGGGTTAACCGCCCGTTGCGCAAAGAACAACGAGGGGGTCGTATTCGGAAAGGGAGGGGGTCGTATCCAGAGAGACGGGCTGCAAGACGGCTTGAAAAGTGCAGTGTCCGGGAGTGCACTTTCACCTCTAATGTTCTCCAGGAGCTCTGCACCGTGCAGCTGAGAGTCACACAGACAAGAGCTCCATGGGAGCATTAGAGCATGCAGAGCATTATAAGTCTCACTATCAGCCATTATTATCCTTAATACACGGCGCTTTCGCTCGACAGCATAGATCAAGATTACAATAGCCAAAAACTTTGTTACAGCGTAGTGCAAAAACATGGTCTGTCTTCGATGATCGAACATTCCTGAAATCCCAAGGAGAACAAAGTGTAGAGCAGTTCATGGGGAAGTGAAACAAGAGTACCATATAACAGTACAATGCAACTCATCGATACTAACACCTTCTTCAGGAAAATGGAGGACTTTCAAATGCGAGTGCGACTTCTGCCCACAGACAGGTGCACGGCGTATACCCGAGCAGGCGTTTTCCCATAAAAACGCCTTCTCTGTCAGCGGCCGTAAGCAGACAAACTTCTGAAGAGAATTTCGATGCTTTCAAATCAAATCTAAGCGGAACAAAGTGTAGCGAATTTGCTGAATTGAGTTCTAGAGACCCCTTAGGAAAATTGAGGCAGAAGAAAGAATTTCAGGAAAATTTCACAGTTGTTATGAAGTACTCTTCGAGTAGATTCTAACATCTTTACCGCTTCTCATCACATTAATTTTGAAGGAAGTTATGGGCCTTTGAAGACTGCATAGTCGCGGTCCAGGAAAATGGCTTGAAAAAAATCAAGGTGGAAAAAACGGAACAACGGGACTATTTTTTGAGCGAGTGATTATTTCAAAAGTTTTAGCACTTATTCGAAAGCTCTAATCTTCTAGTTTCTAATTAGCCTTAGACATCTGCAAAAAGTTGATTATGAAGAAAGTTATGAACGTTTGAATGTCGAAAACTCGCCTTCTCAAAAATCGGACCACAAACCCCCAAAAACGGAACAACGGGACTATTTTTTGCGAGAATGATCGCTGGAAAAAGCTCACGTGCTTGGTTGATGTTTGCGGATTTACCACGGTCCACCAATTCTCCATGTCGGTGACTGCCATTACATCAATGATGAGCATTAAAGTTATGTGAAAGACATAATAGTTAATACGGGGGCGGGTAATCCGAAGGGGAGAGGGTCCTAAAATTTTGGATGTTGCGCAACGCAGGGATCCTTGGTGATGCCTACTTTTTAACATTGTGTATAGGACATTGACTTTACTTTGCAGGGAGTAGAAGAGAATAGAGTTACTTAAATCGACCTCGAGTTAGCTGCGCACTCGTTAGGGTTCACACACGAAACCTTTGATTTCCTCTCTATCGCAAACAAATTCCTGATTTTCGAGTTTGAAAATTATACCTATACCAATACAATCACTTCCTTCACGGCACTACTTATTGGGCTAGTTGGTGAGGTGCCAGCTAGCCGTATACTATTCAAGCGAAGTGGCAGCGACGCTTTTAGTCCATCCTCTCGTCGCTGTTGCCGCAGCTGTGACGTCAGCTGCACGCGATCGCGTCCGCGCCGCCGGTGAACTTGTCTTTCCCCCAGAAGAGAGGGTGGTAAGCACCGTCGTCTCTCCCCGAGCTAGACGAGAAGGTATGCATTCTGCGATTTTGAAGAGTCCAACTGACGAGAAGGGACCGTATTTCTGGAATACAAAGGCAGAAAGCAACATCTTACAAGCCAGACAGTGGTTAGATAAACAGGAGAGATAAGAACAAAAAAGAGAACGGAACGAAGGTTCTCGCATTTTCTGGCTTTTCCAGATTGTTTTTCAACTTCGGTATTTCAGCAGATCATGCATGACGAGTAGCACGGGACTTTGTTATGTAACTGAATATACCGAACACCAATTCAGTATTCGATTGGGACTTTTGAATGCTGACGTTCTTTTACTGAAACGAGGTGTCATCTCGTTCCTATGAAAGCGTTCTTTGTGTAGTAGCGTAAGCATTTGAAAGATATGTTGTGAGATATGTTCTAGCTGTGCTTCTTGATGCATTTTCTCGAATTCTTGTGTTATCTGATTATTGCCTCTTTACTTTGCAATTTGCTTTTACTTTTAGTTCTGTGGATTTATAGAGATACTAGATTGCACGAACCTTACAAGGTATTTCTCTCCTGTATCATTATAGAACACGAAAACGACAACTCGAACCTTGTAACAAGTGCGAAAACTGCTGTAGAAGGTAGATATAGATTTTAATGATTCTACAGAGTGTTTTACTGTTGCGCGGATTTATTGTAAATGGTTTACTTAGTACTGCGGTATATATTGATACAGAGTATCTACAGACTTTAGGGGTGCATTAGTGGATCTTTACCCGTTGGACATATATCCAAACGAGAGGTAAGACTTTCATCGGACCGCTCGGTTCCGCCTTTTAATATCCAAACGAGAGGTAAGACTTTCATCTGACCGCTCGGTTCTGCCTTTTACTCTGCCCACGATTACTTCGTCAAGCTTTGAGAATTTAGGAGAACGCTCAACAGATTATGACTCTGAGTTCGATAAGTATGTAGAATCAGCGAATGGTTCTACACTGAAACTGGACATCTACAACGTCCCATTGTGAGGATATGGGAGGACTGTACGGATACGAATGCCAATCAAAACTTGACACCACAGACTACAGCAAGTCTTTTTTCCGTCAGAAAACTCCCAAAGATACTCCGAACTTTAGCAGTGGTAATGGGATAACTACTAGTCCTAATTTCTAGCAAATGTGCACCAGCAAGGTCTGACGGACCTCCAAAATTCATGTGTCTTGTCGTCGCTTAGCGGCGAATCGAGACAGGTCTCAAGTTTCTGCAGCGAATAACCACAAAGCCATATATCTTTATAGCCATGAGGACAGTATGGTCCTTGAATTGCACAGAAACTTGAACCTTGGTGCGGCACGTGGGCCTCAAACAGAGGAACAACGTCCACTTTTTGGGAATCTGTCGGCAAAGGCGACCCAACAAAGACCCTGGAGAGCATTTGGATAATTACCTATACATAACTTCCTTCAGATGTCCCATGGAAGAATGCAGAAAGCCGCCACAAAGCGCTAC